GGTCTCGCTATAGGTGGCGGTGGCAAAGTTGGAGCTGATCCAGGCGGCCAACCGTGCGCCAGTGTACGCGCCCTCGGGCAACGACGCCCAGTTCAGCGTGCCCAGCGCGGCGTCAACCCAGTAGAGGTAGCGGCCCCGGTCCGTCGAGAGGAAACTGTCGGCCAGGCGGATCTTGTAGACGGCAAGCCGGGCGTCGCTCTGCAAGTGCAGGGACTCTCCCAGGTCGACCTCAAAGTCGCAGTCCGAGCCGGCCACTCTCTTGCGGCTGTCCACGTAGATCGTCGTCATCCTTTTCTTTAGGAACCCGCCCGTCCGACGGATGATGGGCGGGTGGACGGCTGCGACGGAGGTGCAGCAGGAGATATTCTCACATTTTGCGTTTATCAGCGTGGAGCTGGCGAACAGCTTCTGGCCCAGGAAGCTGAGCGCCGCTCCCATCGGCGTCTTTTTCAAGTGCAAAACGCTCTTCAAAGCGCTTGTAGAACATTTCATTCCTCGGCTTCAGGTAGTAGACAAAGAGGAAACTGTAGGGTTCCCGCGTGGCCTGCTCATACAGCCGGTACAGCTGCTCCTTTGGCAGCAGGGCGCTCAGCTCCTCAATAACGGCGTCCAGCTCGTGCTGGTTGCGCAGCCTCCAGCAGCAGAGGAATTGCATGTTCACCCGCACCGCTGCGCTGATGAGCCGCAGCTTCTGCGAGCTCACCCAGGTGCTTATCTGCATGTGCCGGCCCCTGATGAAGAGAGTGTCCAGGGCGCCGTGAGGCTTGTGCAACTGCGGCGTGTCAGCAAAGTCGTCGATGACTACAAGCACCTGGTACAGTTTCTTCATTTCCAACTTCTTGGACGCCTCCGTGATCTTGCGCTGCTGCTGGATGATGCGCCGCAGCGCCGGTTCACCCCCAGGTCCTCCTCAATGTACTTCTTGACGGGTATCCAGCCGTCGTCTATGTTGACACTCGGGCTGAAGATGTAAATTCTCTCAAAGACGCCGCGATACTGCTCCAGAATCAGCTGATCAGAGCCACGGTTTTGCCCGATTTTGATGGCCCGAGGAAGATGCCCGTGCATGGCACCAGGGGCACCACGGGGTCAGAGGGTTGCTTACTGCTGTACTCTGTCGTAGGAAACAGCTTGATCTTCCCCATTTCCTTTGCGTTACTTGCCAAATTTGAAGCCGGGAAGCCGGGCGGCGAGTCTGTCAGCGCACTGCTACACAGCAGGACGCTGACGGAGTTTTCCGGGCAATCCGGGCGGCGAGTCCGGGAGTGCGTCGCTGTGTACCGACGCACTGCCGGTGTTTTCCGCGCAATCCGGGCGGCGAGTCTGGGGACGTAGTGCTGTACAGCACTGCGCTTCCAGCGTTTTCTGGGAAACACCGGGGCAATCCTGTGCCCACGCCAGGAGTGAGTGAGGCAATCCTGTGCCCACGCCAGGATTGAGTGTGGCAATCCTGTGCCCACGCCAGGATTGAGTGAGGCAATCCTGTGCCCACGCCAGGATTGACGGCAGGGCGTGTGAATGGTGAAAAAAACACTCTGTCAGCGGTACGGCGAGGACAGCCTCGCTGACGGACCTCCGGCGCTGGCCCGGTGATGGTTTTTTCGGGCAAAAAAGCGAAGTCGGAATTCCGACTTCGGTGGGAGAGCGAAGTCGGAATTCCGACCTCGGTGTGGTGCAGGCAGGCTGGAGGCTTCTATGCCAGGCAGGCGCGGCAGGGTGGCGCACCCAAGCCGCCGTATGACCGTATGATCCGTATGATTCGTATGACTCGGCGGGCTGGCGTGTCAGGCGCGGCTGGAAACAGGCACCAACCATTTTTTGGTTGCTGCCCGCGTGGAGTTCCGCGTGGAGTTCCCCTCAATCCTGGGGCCACAACAGGATTGAAGGGAGCAATCCTGGGGCCACAACAGGATTGAAGGGAGCAATCCTGGGGCCACAACAGGATTGAATCCAAGAACATGTTCATCCGACATGTATTCCGACATGTTGAAGAAATTAAGCGTATAGCAAGGAACCCGGGGAAAGTGGAGGTTTCGCGGCTTGGCGCGGCAGAAATGTGAACACGAGTGGCAATTGTGTTGGCACTTGTGTTGAAGAAATTCAGCGTATAGCAAGGAATCCTGGGGGAATTTCAATGCAGGGATACTGCAGGGAATCCCTGCATTACCGGTATCTCTCTCTTTAGAGGGGGTTTCCCAAATGGTTTATATTCTACCTGAGAGGCTCCCAGCACTCGTCCGTCCAGCATTTGACCTCGTCCTGCGAAGGATTCGAAGTCTAAAACGCTGCGTGGAGGCGTGGCTGCAAAATAGTGACCCCTAGATATGCGCCGCAATTTGGCTCCAGGTTGCATTTCAAGCGATGTCAAGCTTTGCCAAAGGAAACCCCTTTTCCCTTTTTTTCGGGGACCCCTTTTTTTGGGACCCCTTTTACTTCTTTTTTTTGTTTTTTTCTTAGCCCTGCAAAGGTTGGCTCGCTTGAAATGCAACCTGGAGCCAAATTGCAAGCATATCTAGGGGGCACTATTTTGCAGCCTCACGCCTCCACGCAGCGTTTTAGACTTCGAATCCTTCGCAGGACGAGGTCAAATGCTGGACGGACGAGTGCTGGGAGCCTCTCAGGTAGAATATAAACCATTTGGGAAACCCCCTCTAAAGAGAGAGGGCCTGCCCTTCGTCGTCAGCGTCAACGCCGTGCCCGAGGCCAGGGAGCTCTACAGCCGGGCCGACTCCATCACGAGCCTGCGCTCGGGGAAGAACAGTTCCAAGCCCGAGCTGCTCGTGATGCACCGGGGCATTCCTGCTGTCAGCACAGGATTGGGGAGAGCAATCCTGTTGCCACAGCAGGATTGAAGGGGCAATCCTGTGCTCACGACAGGATTGACGGCAGGGCGTGATGGTGAGAAAAAACACTCCGACAGCGGCCTGGCAGGGAGCAGGGCGCTGTCGGACCTCCGGCGCTGGCCCGGTGATGGGTTTTTCTTTTTTTTTTGGGCATAAAAATCCCGAAGCTCGGATTTCCGACTGCGGGTGGTGAACACAATCCCGACCTCAGGGTCGCGGCAGCGGCTACGGAGGCCGGGGGGCAGGTGGCGCAGTGAACCCTTCCTACAGTCCCCGGATTGCTCTGCCTAGCTTCAATCCTATGGAAGAATATGTGCTACATGTTGCTATATCTCACAAGGAAGCATCCTTGAACATCCACTCTCCGGGTTCCTTGACTATATGTGCTTATTTAAGGATATGTGATAATACATCACAAGGCAAGCCAACGAACATTCCACTTCTCCTGGGTTCTTGTTATATGTGCTATATGTGCTTTTTCTCTAGGCAATGCCACTGAAAACATCCACTCTCCCGGGTTCCTTGCTATATGTGCTATATGTGCTATATCTCACAAGGCAAGCACTGAACATCCACTCTCCCCGGGTTCCTTGCTATATGTGCTATATGTGCTATATCTCACAAGGCAAGCCACTGAACATCCACTCTCCCCCGGGTCCTTGCTATATGTACTATATGTGCTATATGCCCTATATAGCACATATAGTACAGATTTCGCGCGTACAGAGTATATAGCACATATAGTACATATAGCAAGGAGCTGGGGGAGAGTGGGGGTTCAGCGGCTTGGCGTGTGAGATATAGCACATATAGCACATATAGCAAGGGCCCGGGGGAGAGTGGGGGTTCAGCGGCTTGGCGTGTAAGATATAGCACATATAGCACATATAGCAAGGACCCGGCCGAGAGCGGGGGTTCAGCGGCTTGGCGTGTAAGATATAGCACATATAGCACATATAGCAAGGACCCGGCGGAGAGTGGGGGTTCAGCGGCTTGGCGCGGCAGGAATGTGAACACAAGTGGCACTTGTGTTGAAGCTCTCTCTTTAGAGGGAGTTTCCCAAATGGCTTGTATTCTACCTGAGAGGCTCCCAGCACTCGTCCGTCCAGCATTTGACCTCGTCCTGCAAGACTAACGTCAACCAAAGGTGGATGTGTCTTTATTTCTGAGCCCCCTTTTTGTTTTCCCGTGCAGGGAATTCACTATGTTGTTGGTGGATTCCCTTGTGACTTGCTTTGTTTGGTCCAAACAAGGTTTTGTCATTTATGCATGATAAATGGCGCCGTCGTTGCCATTCTTCTCGAGTGGGTGGGTGTGGTGGGTTCCCCTTTGTTGCAACGCACTGAACAGCAGTGAACTTTTTGGCAACAGGGGGGTGCAATGGCATGCGATGAAAGCCTGGATGAATTTCTTCAGGGAATCGTCGCGGACAGTGAAATGCAATCTCCTGGTATTCCTTTGGAAGAACCTGGACGTGGACAGCGAGCAGGTGTAGAATGTGCGAACATTGCTTCACCGACATTTCCGGGTGTTGCTTCTAAAGGGACGCCAGCTGGAGATGCTCAACCGACCAAGAGGGATCTTTCGAGAGCCTTCTTTGAAGCAAAGGTCAAACACTCTAAGGTGGAGCGGCCTGCGCTACCCTGGGAGAAGGGCGTCATGGCTGAAGTGTTTGGAACAGCTGCTAGGCATAGTTTGCCTAGCTTTCCAACAATGGTTCCCAGAATAGAACATTTGGATCCACGCAATGCTGAACCAGATGCTGGAGTTACAGTTGGAACGGAAGGACATGGTATTTCGCATGGTGGTGAAACAATTTTTGACAGCTGCATATCCTTCAGATCTGCTTGGACGCCTGCATCGGATGATGTATCGCGTGAGGTGGTTTGCAAGCGTTGGTTGGCTATATTGCGTTCCAACTCGGACGCAACTGCATGTGGTGCAAGTATTGCAGAGTGCTCGAGCGTTGCAGAACAGGTATCCTTCATCAGGGACGTTTTCTCGGGAAAGGCCACCAGCACTCTGCGAAAACGAGCTTTGTCTTTTCTGAGATACTTGAAGTTTTGTGAGGGCTATCTTGGGCCGGATCAGCAATTTTTTCCGGTTACAAAGCAGAGCTTGTTTGCATATCTACGACATTTGAAGGAAAATTGCATGATGGGTGCGGTCAAGGATTTCATGCAGACAGTCAATTTCTGTCGGCACGTTTTGGGGATGTCGGGTGGCGACGCTCTGACGACCCCATGGATTTCGGGCATTGTGCGCGGAGCTCAGTTCGTATGCAAGGAACGCAAGCAAAGCCGTGTGCTGACTGTGCAAGAGGTCTTGACTCTGGAATGCATTCTGATCGATGGAAGGTTCAGCCTGACAGACAGGTATGGAGCGGGCTGTATTCTTTTCTTGCTCTACAGCAGAGCACGTGTGTCAGATGTGCGGAACGTGAGCTCTCACTTCGCGGATATAGTCGAGGGCTCGGCCAGAGCTGGCTTCATTGAGGTGCACACATTTGATCACAAGTCTGTTCGTGTCACGGCTGCGCTGGGAATTCCACTTATTCTGGTGGCTCCGGTTTTTGGTTTGAGTGATGCAAGCTGGGGCAAGGCTTTCGTTCAAGTTTGCGCTGACATTGGCCTGCCTTTGGGTGGTAATTGGACAGGTCCTCTCTTTCGGGCTCCAAGCCCGGCAGGTGACTTGACAGGCCGGCCTATCAAGACTGACGAGGTCAGGAAGTGGGCTTCAAGGCTGGTGGAGACATGTGCCGGGTCTTTTCCGGAGGGTTTCACAGCGCATGGCATCAAAGCTACGCCTTTATCATGGCTTGCGAAATATGGAGTTGGTGAGGAGGCCCGACATGTTTTGGGCCATCGCAGCATGACAGGGAAGAAGGCGCTCGTAACATATTCGCGAGATCTGCAGTCAGCCCCTCTTCGTACTTTTTGCGAAGTTTTGGATGCTGTCCGTAGGAAGATATTCCTTCCGGATGCGACCCGCAGCGGCATGATTTCCTTGGACAAGGATGCAGGGGCAGAGCGCTTGAGTAGTAACTCATTGCCTCCCGACCAGGCCTCCGAGCGTCATGATGAACTCGAAGGTTTGACGGATGAGCAAGAGCCGCAGGACGTGAGGGATGTTGAGAGCGTTGTGGCAAGTACGAACTCGCTAGAGTCGTCCAGTTCTAGCAGCTCAACGTCATCCTCGGAGGAATCCCTGGATGAGGTTGCTGATAGGCAGAGCTCAGGTATTGTGTCTGCCGAGGCCGTGGTTCAGAATTGGAAACCGAACTGTGATGTCTTCAAGAACCGGAAGACAAAGACTTTGCATTTGCTTCCCGTTGGGTCGACAAAGGCCACCTTTTTGTGCGGGAGACGTCTCACTAGTGATTCAATCCAATTTGAAGGCACGATTTTTCACGACTCGTGGAAATGCCGCCAGTGTGACACAAGCAAGCCGTTAAGAGACATCGGCTCGTGTGTGAGTTTCATGGAAGCGCGAGCGAAAGCCTCGTCTTCAAAGGAGAGGCGATCAGGTGACGACGGAAATCGTTGAAACAAGTGCGTCGGCTGTAGACGCAGAGGCATCGCTAGATGCCTGTTTGAGTGACAGCGCGTTTTGAATGCTGTGTCACGTGAATGTTTCTTTCTTTGGGGAGTCGCTAGACTCGCCTGATTGAGATGAGGTCGTGAGACCAAGTGTCGATAGACACGTTGTGTGCTGGTCTTGGACTGGCTCAAGCCTCCTCGCCAGAGGATAGACATGTGAGTGTCGTTTTTTTTTGAGCGTTTCATTTGCATGGAACTGTGCACCATTTCAGATTTCCAAGGGTTGGGTTTCTGAGAGGTGTAGCTGCTGCGATCAGCCGTGGGTGCCATGGTTTCTCTGCTTGAGTCTGAGGCGGTTTTTCAGGAGAAATGTCGTGAGTTCAAGCTGCCGGCGGATTCAATGCAGGTGCTACAGGACCAAGGGATCAACACTTTGGGGACGCTTGCTTTTTCACTGGGAAATCCAGGCGATTCGGCTTCGACACAGGAGCTTCGGGAATTGCTTAGTTCAAGTGCCCCACAAGATGTGCCTCTTGGTGTCGTGGCCTCTCTGAGACGGCTACTTTTTGTGGCTCACACCTTGGCTATTTCGGAAATCAAAGGCATGGTGGAGGAGCCTGGTGCTGAAGCTGGCGTCAAGGAACTTCCCATGGCTGAACGTGTTTCACGAATTAATGAACAGAAGCAGAGATTTGCTGGGAGGAGCTTGGTCGGCGATGCAGAATGTGGTCATTGTTGTTATGACTTTGCGCTGCAAATGGTTGAGAAGAATGTGGTTATGTACATGCCCCCGTCCAGGTTTGTCACGAGACAAGCGGAATTGAGCCCTGAGAAGGTGACCAAGGAGATCACTATAGATGCTCATCAGCGCCTTCAAGTGAAAGACGGCAAGAGCAAGGTCACTTGTGAGACTCACTCGGAGCTTCTTCTGACGCAGGCGCTCTTGCGAAGGGCGCTGGCATTGGACTTGACGGGCGTTGTGAGTTTTGCAGTTATGGAAAGCTACAACAGTTTCTTGATCAGGCATTTGCAGTCGCAGGCTCCCCCTGGTTATGAAAGAACATCAGTACGGCAGGTACTGGAAGCAGATCGGCAGGCATGGATTAGATTGGCGGAGCTTTTGCCAGGTGGCGTCAGGCGGCTGGACGATGGATCGCTGCCGCTGGACGCCCAATTTCCGAGCCTTCAGACGGACCCGCCACTTCAGATGCAACCAAGCGTCAATCTGATGGGAGTTCGAGCCAGCGATCAAATTTCCCGAAAGGAAGTGGCAAAGGTAAAAAGGGTGGTCCTCGCAATATTCCGGCAGAGCTAGTGGGCAAAATGACGCAAACCAGATCTGGGAAGCCGGTATGTTTCGGCTACAACATGGCTTGCGGCTGTCCGCATAAAGTCAAGCCGGGGGCCCAGTGCCCGCGTGGACTTCACGTGTGTGCGGAGCCTAAATGTGGGAAGAATCACAGCATGCAGGATCACCCTGCAGTAAACAACAACTGACTAGAAGGTGCAGAAGTTTCACGCCATCAGTTTGATGATGGTTTCATGGATAGAGCAATGAGCAGGTTGCAAGGGAAGTGCATCAGCGATTTGGTCTTCTTAGAAGTCTTCGCTGGCACAGGAAGACTGACAGCTTCAGTCCGACGACTTGGCATGAGTCAGTCAGTGGGGATTGATCATATTATACACAAGCAGGTGAGGGTCAAGCTTGATTTGACGAAGGCTTCAGATTTGAGTTTATTGATGAGCATGCTGGATGATGAAGACGTAGCTTGGGTACATTGTGCCCCTCCATGTGGCACAGCAAGTCGCGCTCGCGATATCCGGAGGAATGATGGGTTTGACCCGCCAGCAGCCAGGTCGGATGCACAACCCGATGGTCTGGCAAATTTGACGGATGTTTTGCAAGGCCGGGTGCAATCGGCCAACTGCCTTTACAAGGCGACCAGTCAGGTTATGGAGCGTTGCTTTCAGCTTGGTATTTTCTCGTCGACTGAGAATCCGCAGCTCTCTTATTTTTGGGATACCAGTTTCTGGAAGCGACAGGCCGGTCAGCTGCCCTTCATGCATGTCTTGTTTGATCATTGTCAATACGGCGGAGAACGGAAGAAAACCACTCGACTGGTCCATTCGATACCGGAGTTTCAGCACCTGGAATCCTTTTGCGATGGATCGCATGAACATCAGGCGTGGGGGCTGCAGCATGGTGTCTGGACAACGTCACTGGAAACTGCATACCCGCTGGAACTTTGCAAAACCATGGCTGATTATTTCAAGAGACAGCTATTGTTTCTTGGGGTTGTAAATGTGCCTTCCTCTCTTGGAGACTCAAATGCTGGTAACGCTATACACCTGGCGCAAGCCTCTATTGGCAAGCAGCCCAGAGGGAAAAAGCTACCTCCACTTGTTTCTGAGTTTCGGCAGGTCATTGAATTGGTCACGCCGCTGGCTGTGAATTTACCAACCAAGATTTCGCTTGAATGGTTTATTCCCGCAAATTGCAGAGCAACTCCAAGCTTGGTTTCCTTGCCGCCTGGAGCCCGGGTATTGCGCAGGCAGTGGCATGGGGGTGGTAGAGCCTGCGATGAAGGTGTTCAAGCCTGCGAAGACGGGGTTGCTTTTCATGGGAGCGAAAATTCTTTTTCTTCACAGACTGGTTCGGTCGTGCAGGAGGTGCTTTACATTGTTGGGATCCCTTGGTCGCCTGAGGAGTTCATCTCCAAGGCCGCATCAGTCGAACACCCGAAAAATCTTGTGAGCGGTCTCCCAGACGAGCTGAAACACGCCATTCTTAGGAACGCTGAACTCTCAGAGGACGAGTTGGGCAGGGAACGCACGGCAACGATGAGGCGCTGGCTGCAGCTGGCGGTTGACCTTTCGAACGAAGAGAAGGTTTTGAGAGAGGAGATGTCTGATGTTCGCCGCGGTATTTTGAAGGGAAAAAGGTTGGTCTTGCTGAGCCACCTGCTTCAGGAAATGGATTATGCAGATTCCAAGATTGCAGCGGAGATTGGCCAGGGTTTTTCTCTCACAGGCAAGATTCCTTCGTCCGGTGTTTACAAAAGGAAGCGCAAGTATGCTGTTCTGGCGGAGGAGGATCTGGTGGAATGTTCCGAGAAAACGAATTTGGGAATTCTGGCTGGCACTGGCAGTTGCGGAGATGCGGTAGCAGATCGTGAGCTGTATAGGGTTACACGTGAAGAGCTGGACCGAGGATGGATTCATGGTCCTCTTCCGCAGACTGTGTTGGGGAATGGGTCTTCGGTGACTCGACGCTTTCCGGTGGTGCAAGCTATTGATGACTTCACGGCTAGCCTGATCAACCTGACAAATAGCTCTCAGGAGTCAGTTGGTTTGCACGGGGCAGAAATTATTGCGGCTTCTTTGGTGCAGTGGTTCAGCTCTTGCCATGCCCTTGGGGTGGTTGACACGGACCTCAAGGTTCAGTCTTGGGATCTTTGGAAGGCATATAAACAACTCTGTTTGTCGGACGCGGCTCGTGAAAGGACTTTCATGGCATTTGGAATCCCTTGGATGAATGTGTCGAGCTGTACAGGCATTGCGCTTTACCTTTCGGAGGCCGAGCGTCTGTGAATGCATTCTGCAGAGCTTCGCGTAGCCTTTGGGTCTTGGGGACGGTGCAGCTGTCCTTTTTCTGGACAAATTATTTCGACGACTACGTGATCTTCTCCAGACCAGCTTCGTCTCGGCATTGTAGCAGTATGGCTGGCATGTTTTTCAAGGTGATGGGATGGCTGGTGTCGGAAGACAAGCTGGAAGATTTTGGGCCAGAAGCGAAGGCTTTGGGCTTACTCATCAACCTGGATGAGGCGAGGTTTGGGAAGGCTCAGTTTGGAAACACTGATTCCAGGAAAAGAGAATTGGTAGACGCAATCAATGAAGTTTTGCAAGCGGGATCGTTGAGCCAAAAGCATGGCCAGCGCTTGAGAGGCAGACTATTATTCGCTGAATCGCAGATTTACGGCAGGAGAGCAGTGCGCGCAATGGGAATTTTGTCAAACCACATTTCCAGGTGCAGGTCATCTGCTATTTCGCTGGAATGCAAGGCGGCTTTGACGTGGCTTCGTGACAAAATTGATTTCGGACGACCCCGTCTTTTGCAGAGACTTGCTGACTCCACTGTTCACGTCTTCGTTGATGCATCTTTTGAATCAAGTGCTGCTTTCCCTGTTGGGCTGGGTGGTGTTCTGCTTCTTCCTGAAAGCGGATCTCGTTTTTTCTTCAGTTGCATTATGAAGGAGGAGAGCGTGTTGCAGTGGGTCACGGATGAAAGCAAAAACCCGATCTTCGAACTTGAGTGTTTAGTGATTCTCATGGCTTTGGAGCAGTGGTGTGCTGAGCTTCGGGGAAGGAATGTTATTGTATTTACAGACAACGAAGGCGCGCTGAGTTCCTTTGTGAAATGCGGCAGTGAGAATGCAAAAGCACAGCTCATTATCGATTTGACCTGTGATTGTGAAGACAGCAACTCCATGTCAATCTGGTATGAGCGGGTGAATACTGCTTCAAATATAGCAGACTTGCCCTCAAGGGGCGATGTTTCATCAGAGTGCCTTGGTGTGAGAGTTGAATTCGATTGGCCTGCTTTCTGTGGACGACATGCTCGCAAGATGGCAAGGGGGTGATGGATGCAGACCTTGTCGTCAGACAGGGTCGCCTTCTTTGCAAACGGACTTCCCCCGTGTTTGCCTTAGGAGGAAAAAGAGCAGCGTTGTCCGCGATACTTTTTCAGATATAACAAACAAGGGTGGTGAAAGGAATAAGACTAACGTCAACCAAAGGTGGATGTGTCTCTATTTCTGAGCCCCCTTTTTGTTTTCCCGTGCAGGGAATTCACTATGTTGTTGGTGGATTCCCTTGTGACTTGCTTTGTTTGGTCCAAACAAGGTTTTGTCATTTATGCATGACAAATGGCGCCGTCGTTGCCATTCTTCTCGAGTGGGTGGGTGTGGTGGGTTCCCCTTTGTTGCAACGCACTGAACAGCAGTGAACTTTTTGCCCGCCCTCCCATCCCTGTGTTCGCCTTTTGGCTTTGTCGTTAGACAAGGTCGGGGGTGATGGATGCAGACCTTGTCGTCAGACAGGGTCGCGGGGTGATGGATGCAGACCTTGTTGTCAGACAGGGTCGCCTTCTTTGCAAACGGACTGAGCCAAATTGCAGCGCATATCTAGGGGTCATTATTTTGCAGCCTCACGCCTCCACGCAGCGTTTCCTTCGCAGGACGAGGTCAAATGCTGGACGGACGAGTGCTGGGAGCCTCTCAGGTAGAATACAAGCCATTTGGGAAACTCCCTCTAAAGAGAGAGCCCGGGCTGCACTTTTGACGCAGGACACGAAAAACGCACTTTTCGGAGTTCGCCGTTTTCAGCGCTTTTTGCACCAAAAACGGAGTGGTGACAAAGACCGGTGACATCGGAAAAACGTTCAGCGGGTTGAAGAATTTGGCTGTTTTGCAGGGTTTGGGGACCAAAAATCCCCAAGAATTAGGTCCCTATAAGCAGACATTCCTTACGCAGCGCAGGATGCCCACCATGGTGGGGCGCAGCAGCACGTCCGCGTAGCCGCTCTGGTGCACCGCGCGGGGCGTCCGGGGGTCGTTCACCTCGTCGAAGGTCATGCACGGCCACGGTGCGACCATAGTAGTTAATGTCATCGCAGCGCTGCCCGTTGGCGAAGACCTGGATCCTCTGGATGAAACAGGCTGGGTTCGGAGTGGCCGGCGCCAGCGGGTTGGTGGCGTCCGTGTTTCTGAAGGCGATCTTGATCGACTCAGGACCCTCGAGGTGGCGGGGGAGAAGGAGCTCAGCGAGCTGGGGAAATACTGCACGTCGTGCCGTGCGGTCACGTAGTTGGTGTTGCTGGTTTTCAGCTTGTAGTCCAGGCTCTGCATCAACTCATCCTGTGCTCCGGCTGTGACTACCTCCATGCTTCTTTACATGTAGCGCAACACTCATTTTTGCTCGTACGGCGAAGGAGAGTCTAAGGCAGGCGGCTCTGACGCGACTGCCCCGAGCTGCGGGAGCTTGCCCGGGAGTTCGGCTGGGACTGGGGCAGAGTCACAGGGTTCAGGCGGCGGGGCGTGTGATCTGCCTGAAGTGCTGCTGCTGGGGCTGAGTGGCGTCATTCATGTTGTTGGCGGACCGGACGTTCTGCACGGCTGCGTCCTCACTGCCCTGCTGAGGCCGGAAGAGTGTGTTC